TCCTGGCGCGGCACAGGCAGCCAACTTTCCTTGCAGTTTTCCTATTTTTTTTTTCCTTTATACATCGTCTTTTCTACAGGTTAACTGAGAGATTTTTCATATATATATATATATATATATATATATATATATATATATATATATATATATATATATATAACTAATTTGTGAATAGTAGGGATAATTCCAAGGTAGTTATTAATCCAGAAAAAGCTCAAGAGACTAATTTGAAATTGTGTTGATTTGTCCTGCCTAAAATAACAGGACACATCAGTCAATTTTCTGTATTAGCCGATGTACAAATTTCCACACTTTAAGGAAAAATTCTTGGGCAGGTGATTCCATTTTAGTTTTACTACTATCCATTCATTTCTTTCTTCTTCCATTTTCCTTTCCTTTACACTCTTTTTCTCCCTCCTCTCTTTCTAGTTCACTAGTTTAAAAAGAACTTTATAATCTGTTACTTTTCTTTCTTCCTCTCCATCTTCTCTTCTTTCTTGCTTTCCTTTCTTCCTGTTAATCTAGTATATCATTCCAGAGAAATTGTCTCCATTTAAGAACTTTCAATCTGAACAGATGAATATATAGAAATATTCATGAAATAATCATTAGTCATTATTAAAGGAAGAGAGAAAATTACTGTGTTGATACATATTATTTTATTCAGATTACTTTTGGCATAGCACAATGTCATCATCAGGGTGTTGTTTATTTCATTCATTAGATCTGCTTCGTTTTCTTCTTGATTTATATATATATATATATATATATATATATATATATATATAACATTTAATATGTGCATTTAATTTCAAAATGTAATACCCCCACCAAAAATATAGATGCACCCACATTATAGGGCTTAATAATACAGTTTGCTTATTGTCTTTTACCTTTATACATAGTCTTTTTCTATAGGTTAACTGAGAAATTTTTCGCATATATATATATATATATATATATATATATATATATATATATATATATATATATTATTACAATAAAAAAAATATTAAAAATCTAAAATCTTCAGACACACTGGTTTGTAGATTAATATTCTTTGGTTTTTTTAGCATTATTTCATTTAGATTCCTCGACTAGTTTCAGCCAAAATGGCCATCATCAGGAGAAGAAATATTTCTGCTTGCTGGTAGCAGTAAACTACAGAAATGAATGTCTTGATGGAGAAAATGAATTTTTGTCTGTAGTTTTCATTTGTTTTTGTTTTTTTTTTTATCTTTTTAACATGACTCTTTTAACATTCCTTGTGTTGGTCAAACAGTCTCTTTTAAGTTGTTATTTGAGATAAGAGCTGGATGGATCTATGCTTCTCAGAATTCCCGTGGTCAGTTTGATAGTTTTATTCGTCCTGGAGAGGGGATGTGTCTCTGTTTAGTGATTGTGTGTGTGTCATTTGGTTCTTAGGGAGTGAGTGAGTATGATATGTGTAAGTGTGTATATTCGTGTGTGTGTGTGTTTATAAATGTGAGGCCTCCACATCTCCGTAAGCATGCCTGCTATGTGGGTGAGAAATGTGGGTAGGTTTTGATTTGTAAAGTTATATATTAGTACTATCTATATTGTTAAATTTATGGTTTAGCCCGGCTGTATATTGTGTTTCAGACGTTGTATCCACTTATTTTCATGGAACTCTAAAATCTTTCTAATGTTATCTGCTCTGAACTTTTCTATTCCGTCAATATATATATAAATATATATATATATATATATATATATATATATATATATATATATTTCTCCATTTTTGAATGGTAGGGATAGATGCAACGCGGTTATAAGGGAAATCGTGTCCATTTAATAACTTTTAACCAATTGGATCTGCAAGGTTTTCTTCTTGATTTATATATATATATATATATATATATATATATATATATATATATATATATAAATCAATCAAAAAAAAAAATTGCAGGTCCATATATATATATATATATATATATATATATATATATATATATTTAGGCAGCAATTTTACATTAATGCATGTTTTAGGCACTTAAAACAACATACCTGGCCGCGTACACAATTCCGGAAAATTCTTGTTGAAAATACAACTATACTTAAACATGAAAACAATAAACAAAGACTAAAAATTCTTGAAGCTATATACATAAAACAGTTGAAACCTAACCTAAACAAAATAAACTATGAAATAAATTCGTATAATTGATAACAGAAGCCATAGATAGATATATATAATTACTCCAAGTTAAATATTTGTCAGCTGATTGATGTTACCTTCAGGATCCAAACTCCACAGTTTGCTATACGGACTTCCCGGGAATCACTCGATCCACTCGTCAGGAGTTATCACCAACTGCCTGCTTATACTTCTCATTTTTTCCTTTTTATAAGCACTTTTCATTGGTGCAAGTTTTCTTTTCATGGGGCATGTGTCTGAACGTTCGTGCACGTATGTCGATGCTCCTCTCTGCGTATGTATATGTATATGTTCGCGCGTGTGTAGATAGATAGATAGATAGATAGATAGATAGATAGATAGATAGATAGATAGATAGATAGATATGAAAAGACTGAGACAGAGAGATTGATAGATATATAGAACGATATGAACCGACAGAATTACATTAATTGATAGAACGCGAATTTTATAGATAGATAGATAGATAGATAGATAGATATGGACAGGCTAAGAGATAGATAGATAGATAGATAGATAGATAGATAGATAGATATGAACAGACCGTCATCGATGGACAGACAGATAGATAGAATTATATGAATCGACTGAATTCTATAGATAGATCGATAAAACGATATGAACAAACCAAATTAGATAGATAGATAGATAGATAGATAGATAGATAGATAGATATGGACAGGCTAAGAGATAGATAGATAGATAGATAGATAGATAGATAGATAGATAGATATGCTCTGGCTGAGATAGATAGATAGATAGATAGATAGATAGATAGATAGATAGATAGATAGATAGATATGAACAGACCGTCATCGATGGACAAGACAGATAGATAGAATTATATGAATCGACTGAATTCTATAGATAGATCGATAAAACGATATGAAGAAACCTAATTAGATAGATAGATAGATAGATATGAACAGAATCAGATAGATAGATAGATAGATAGATAGATAGATAGATAGATAGATATGAACAAACTGAGATAGACAGAGAGATAGATATGAACAGTGATAGATAGATAGATAGATAGATAGTCTCATAGATAGATAGATAGATATGAACAGACTGAGATAGATAGATAGATAGATAGATAGATAGATAGATAAACATGAATAGACTGAGCTATCTAGCTTGATAGATAGATAGATAGATAGATAGATAGATAGATAGATAGATAGATAGATAGATATGAACAGACCGAGATAGATATATATGAATAAACTGTGATAGATAGATAGATAGATAGATAGATAGATAGATAGATAGATAGATGCTAGCATATCGAAATATATAGGTCGGTATTCACGCATTTTCTACATCATGCAGCTAAATGCAGATTCTAGCTTTGCTGACAGTAGACAAGAACGAAAAGGAAGGAAAAGCGCTGGTGAAAACCGAGCTGATTTCAAAATATATAAATCAAAACGGAAACTCAATGAGGCAGAACAGTATACACGTACGTCGTCTTCTCCTGTCACGCTGAGCTTGCCAGAAAAAGCACACACACACACACACAAAAATAATACTCGAAAAACAAGCACGTCATGCTAAGGAAATAATGTAACAGAAGCAACAAACAGACAGGCGGACAGAAAAAGAATGTGGCTTTCTACTTTGCGGCGGTCGACAGGACCTCTTCGTTAAATATCACGTTCAGAAAAATATCAACAGTGGTATTTTTTATAAGAGAAAAAAAGAAAAGGTTCTTTGTTGTATCTGCCTATATTTCTGAGATGAGGTATTATGTACACTATTTACATTATTCGGACTATTGTCCTCATCTTTGTCGCCATATTTATCACAACGTTTCGGCCCTTCAGTATCTGTCTATATTTCTGAGATGAGGTATTATGTACACTATTTACATTATTCGGACTATTGTCCTCATCTTTGTCGCCATATTTATCACAACGTTTCGGCCTTTCAGTATCTGTCTATATTTCTGAGATGAGGTATTATGTACACTATTTACATTATTCGGACTATTGTCCTCATCTTTGTCGCCATATTTATGTTTTTTCGTTTCGGCCCTTCAGTATCTGTCTATATTTCTGAGATGAGGTATTATGTACACTATTTACATTATTCAGACTATTGTCCTCATCTTTGTTTCCATATTTATTACAACATTTCGGCGCTTCCGTATCTGTCTATATTTCTAACATGAGGTATTATGTACACTATTTACATTATTCGGACTATTGTCCTCATCTTTGTCGCCATATTTATTACAACGTTTCGGCCTTTCAGTATCTCTCTATATTTCTGGGATGAGGTATTATGTACACTATTTACATTATTCGGACTATTGTCCTCATCTTTGTCGCCATATTTATTACAACGTTTCGGCCTTTCAGTATCTGTCTATATTTCTGAGATGAGGTATTATGTACACTATTTACATTATTCGGACTATTGTACTCATCTTTGTCGCCATATTTATTACAACGTTTCGGCCTTTCAGTATCTGTCAATATTTCTGAGATGAGGTATTATGTACACTATTTACATTATTCGGACTATTGTCCTCATCTTTGTCGCCATATTTATTACAACGTTTCAGCCTTTCAGTATCTGTCTATATTTCTGAGATGAGGTATTATGTACACTATTTACATTATTCGGACTATTGTCCTCATCTTTGTCGCCATATTTATTACAACATTTCGGCCTTTCAGTATCTGTCTATATTTCTAACATGAGGTATTATGTACACTATTTACATTATTCGTACTATTGTCCTCATCTTTGTTGCCATATTTAAGTAGGATCGACAATGCAACCCGTCGTTTCCAGTATATAGGTGATGGCTTCTTTTATATCTTTCTTGCGATGGTGATATTGCCACTAAATTTCAGCAACAAAAAAAAGAACATTACATTATTATTATCCTCATCTTTGTCGCCATATTTATTACAACGTCGCCATTGTACGCTCCGGCCTTTTTCAGGTGTTTGGAATGTTGAACTGAAGCCTGTTTAACAAAAAAATTGCAATATGAGCTCTGGTAAAAAAACATGCAATGATAACAGCAAAAATTGCAATATGAGCACTGGTAAAAAAAAATATTTGCTGAAGACATTAGGTTTATAAAGCCCACAGATGTCCTCAAGGACACATGACACAGTGAATTAAATGCTTTTGTTATATCCAGTGATAGGACCCAAAGAGTGTGAGTTCAATATCTGGTTAAGGCGGTGGAGAACTTGGAGAGGGGAATTAACTGGAGATAACTTACTCCTTAGATCCATTAAAACATGGCACGTGGAACTAGAACAGTCTACCCCAGCAAGCGGAATAAAGCTTTCCGTTCGACTTTCCAACCACCTGAAGAATGCCGGATCGTACAATGGCCGAAACGTTGTAATAAATATGGCGACAAAGATGAGGATCATAATAATGTAATGTTCTTTTTTGCTGCTGAAATTTAGTGGCAATATCACCATCGCAAGAATGATATAGAACAAACCATCACCTTTATACTGGAAACGACGGGTTACAAGTTCGATCCTACTTAAATAGACTGTTCTACTCGTAATAAAAAAATAGCGGGTGGGTGATATGTAAGGATATTATTTTTGTAGATTTGCATTCGTTAGCATTCAAAGGTCGACATTTTGTCAGAATATTAAAAAAAAAAGAATTTTTCTTATTATTTTAGAACGGGCGTCTTCATCATAAAATAGATACTTTCTCCTCCCCTACCACATTCCCCCACAAAATATAAAAAAAATTAAAAAAAAAAACAAAGCGATACCGAAGATTTAAAATGATTTTTTTTAAAAAACGAAAATTCTTTCAAACTAATAGATTATAGTGGAAGCGTTCTGGGCTCATAACCTTTGTTGGCCATGTTCGCCATAGTCTATGAATATAGAATCTAGCGTAGTACGTAATCTGTTCAATAAAACAACGTTAAAGATTAATACTCACGAGTCAGACACTCTACGGAATCTGACTATATCGCCAATACCAACAGCAGCTGTTCCGTAATTCTTCAGTCTTCGATATCAGAGGTTGCCAGTGAATATTCGAAAAAAAACAAAACATGGCCGCCTTTATACACGTTGCATTGAATATTCTGAGCCTTCTGATTGGTTAACCCTTCTATTGGTGAACTATAAAATGACTCAGCTCATTTTGGCTAGCACACAAGTACTAGCTACCAAAAAATTCCAACAGATTACCTACAAAATAAATACGCACACTTTTTCAAATTTACTCCTAGAGGCCCAACATATCATACCTCTTTGGAATCAGACCGACTCCGCGAGAAAATTAAAAACATTCCTGAAATTTGAGATTCCCAAGTTTTCATTACTGTAATTATTTTCGAATCCCGCCATATTGGCTTCTACTGATAAAAGCAATTAAAGGTACACCACTCTGTATCTTTCAATAGCTCTTATTCAAATAAAATAAATTACAGTGTTTCATAATAAAATTGTCCGTTTTTTCAACTTTACTCCCAGAGGCCGTAGCTCAACCTATCATACCATTTTGGAATCAGGCCGACTCTGTGAGCAAATTAAAAATATTCCGGATCGGATCCAGACCTGCAATCCTGAAATTTTGGATTCCCAAGTTTTCATTATTGCGATTGTTTTTTTTATATTATTTTACGTGATTTTTTGCGATCAAATTTTTTGTACGATAACAATTTTTATAACATCGAAATAAATTTGGGAATAATCAAAATTAATTGCGAAATCTAGGGAAAGTCACCGATGAAATAATAATAATAGTTTGTAAGGAAAGTAAAGACCTACGCACATCAAATTGTCTTTCATATATATCTAAATCTCTTCACATCTATCTATCTATCTATCTATCTATCTATCTATCTATCTCATTCCTTTAATCTATCTATCTATCTATCTATCTATTTAATCTTTTATATCTATCTATCTATCTATCTATACATTTATATCTATATATGTATCTATTCATATCTACCTATGTCTCTTCTATCTATCTTCTCTCTCTTCATCTCTATCTCTCTCTCTCTCTCTCTATATATATATATATATATATATATATATATATATATATATATATATATCTGTATATGTCTCTTCATATCTATCTATCTATCTATCTATCTTTTCTATCTATATCAGTCTGTTCATATCTATCTGTTTATCTATCTATCTATGTCAGTCTGTTCATATCTATCTATATCAGTCTATTCATATATTCATATCTATCTATCTATCTATCTATCTATCTCATTCCTTGAATCTATCTATCTATCTATCTATCTATGTCTCTTTATTTTTATCTATCTGTCCATTTATCTACCCATGACTCTTCGTATCTACTTCTCTCTCTTTCTCTCTCTCTCTCTATCTATTTATCTATCTATCTCTCTGTATATGTCTCTACATGGCTATCTATTTATTTGTCTATGTCTCTTCATATCTATTTCTCTCACTCTCTCTCTCTCTCTCTCTCTATATATATATATATATATATATATATATATATATATATATCATTTCTTTAATCAAGTTATCTATCTATCTATCTAAGTTTCTTCACATCTATCTATCTACCTATCTCTCTCGAGACCTTGGATCGGTGCCTAAACTGCCATATGGTCTCAGCTGCTGGGTGTGGCGCATAGTCACTTATGGCTGTACAGGCCCACAATAGAGTAACACTCTTGCTTGCAACGTATGCATGTGAAGACGACCTCCCCGGATACCTTGTTTTTTTTCCGTCGAACACGTTTCAACCCTGTGGCTCAGGCACGGTTTCTCCTCGTCTCGCTCCAGCCATCGGCGTAAATCGCGTCTCCAGCGTGAGCGATCGCTGGCGACGTCTTCCCACCTCTCGATAGAGTCCATGTCCATCGCCATCGTGTCCCTTTTCTCGGGCGTTTTTGAAGCGGAGAGGATACCCCCCTACCTCGTACGAAACATCTTTACATCCGGCATAGGGTGTTCATTCAGAAGGGCGTATAGGCTGGGTATCTGGGGCAGGGATAAGAACTACGGCGTTGGTGAGCCGGTCGGACCAGTTGATGCCCAGAAGGCGTCTCAGACAGGGAAGATGTAAAAGGCGCCGAGGCGTCGCTCCTGTCTGGAGTAGATGCTTCCGTAAAGCCGGACACTGGCGACAAGTCCTCTCCAGAGCGCTGGCCCAAGCAGAGAGTTATAAGAGATCGGCATTGGCCCGTACAGAATATCTCCTCGTCACCGATCTTGTCCATGGCAAAGGTAGAAGACAAAGCTTGGCACCGGCGTCGACGAAGCTAAACATAAGATCGGCATTCTTAAGGATTTCGGCTCCGGGTTTGTCTTCAGGGCTTCCGCCAAGACATCGTTCCCATGATGGGGTGTGGACGCAAGGCAGTGGAGGCTTAAATTCAGAGTTTTGAGATTAATCCATTGTAATATATAGAAGAATAAATTTATATATACGATACACTACAAAAGTAATACAATTAGAACAAATAAACTTTATCATTTACCAATTTATAAAGAAATAAATATGAAAACAATTTTGTATTCATAGATTTATAAGTATTTATGAAATTATTAAAATACGTGAACCAAATATAAGGTAATTCTATATATCTATCTCAGTCTGTTCATATCTATCTATCTATCTATATATCTATCTATCTATCTATCTATCTATTCCAAGTCTGTCTTACTATCTATCTATCTATCTATCTGGGCCAGTTAGTATCTATCTATCTATCTATCTATCTATCTATCTATCTATCTATCTATCTAATTCAGTCTGTTCATATCTACCTTTCTATCTATCTAATTCAGTTTGTGCATATCGTTTTATCGATTTATGAAATTCAGTCTGTTCATATCTATCTATCTATCTATCTATCTATCTATCTATCTATCTAATTCGGTTTGTGCATATTGATTTATTGATCTGTCGATATAATTCAGTCATATATATATATATATATATATATATATGTCGGTCTGTTTATATCTAGCTACTAGTCTATCTCAGTCTGTTCATATCTATCTATCTATCTATCTATCTATCTATCTATCTATGTATCTATCATTGTTTATTCCTATCTATCTATCTATCTAGCTAGCTACCTAGCTCACTTTATTCATGTTTATCTATCTATCTATCTATCTATCTATCTATCTATCTATCTATCTATCTTTCTTTTCATATCTATCTATCTATATTTATATAGAGAGATATATGTATACAAAGAGATAGATAGATAG